TTAATACGTCTGAACGGTTGTAATCATACACACGATCGGATTATATGACGCATTGGCATCCGCAATCACACTCATTGCGTGGCATCGATGATACGACGTTGTTTATGAAATGATACTTCGTTCAAGTACTTGGCCTTTTACGAGTCTACTTGCTGTTTCCCCTATGAATCGGTCTCAACATGTACAACCCGGCATTAAACGATGCCCGTTACCTCCTGTTATTGAAAATTCTTTTATACCAGTTTTATTATGAGTTTCAAATGGTCTTAAAGGCACACCCATGTATAAAACGTTCGATTTTTATTTAAATTCCTAATGTTCATAACAGTTCATAACAACCAAGAGTGGAAGGTTTGCGTAGTCTGTGTGCCCGTGGCTTGTTTTACTCTAGGCATCGCTTTGGCGCCACTTTGGCGGATGGCCCTGTTAACCCATTGTTCAGTGAAACTATCCGGGAAGCTATTTCTCTTCAATCCATTGTTGAAGAGAATCGTCCTCTGCTGTTCAAATAAAATGAGCCTGTAACCTCAAATTCTTTAGAAACAATTATCGGACCAAACCTGTCTTCATTGATGCTGAGTTAGAAGTCCAAACATTAAGGTGACGACCAGCATGGTCAGATTTATGGAACCACTGACTTCAAGCATAGGAAGTTCCAAAGGGGAGAGAAGGTTTGGCGCATACCATGGATACATATATGTTGTGTTTGTTGTAATCATCGCTTTGAACCAACCTGAATAAGGCAGAACATCTCTGCGTTGTGATTGGCAGGATTTCAACAATTTGGCTATCTGGCGCAGGCTATCGTAAAAGTCATTTTTTTATCAAAGCACAGATCTGCTTCCGTTTTCTTCCTCCATGTTGAACGCTGGCCTCCTTATCGACTCCGTCTCTGTCGTGTAGGGTTACACAGCGTTTGTCCAATCACGATCACACTGATCTGAGGACATCACATTACTGCAGTTGCTTGCAGATCATCAACCATCCATCCTGGTTGTACCGAAGTCCAGTAATATGAACATTAGAAAAGAATTTAGTTATGAATTTGACGTCATGTCAATGTTGCATAGCATTTTTCAGGATTTGATCGTTCATATTGCCAGCCCCTGTCTTTTCTTTTTCTTTCCAAACGTCATTTATAGAGCTTATATCCTTCGTTCTTATTGTCCATCATAAGAAAGCTTCATTGTGCTTTTTTGGGGACTCACATGGACGATGACCTGCAATCGTTTGATACGGATATGTCAGATGTTTCGTTCTCGAAAAGTTGTACTCATTTATGAACCAGGGCTTGAACCCGGAACCTATCGACTTTGAGTTTGACACTCTAATGACTGGTCAAATACCCATCCGTTTAAACACTTCCACGGCTAAACTATATAACTAGCATTAAAGATTATAATACTTTTTAAAGCCGTCTTTGGGTATAAACAAAAACTACGATAATAATATCGTGATAACATGTGAATGAACTGTGATGAACGACGTCAGAGCACGGTACACACCACCCGCGCTAAGAGACATGCCAACTGTCATGATTGTATCCGGTGTACTGTAGCGAAACCGTGACAGCATTATTTGCGGATGCAGGATTGGCATCGATCGGTGGTCAAATACCAGAGAGCCTTGATTAGCTGACATGACACCGTGGGCCTTTAGCAGCAGAGAGATGGTGGCAGTACTTTTCCACGTACCAATATAATGATGTACGCTTCAGCTGTTGAACTGTTCTCTGCCGCAGTATTGGTATAAGCCAACTTCACTATATCTAAGGTTATAATGTTATATACCTGTGGATCCAAATACATTCTAATATATGTGTTCGAATGGTTGTTCAAGACACGCATCTTTCGGCCAGTGCCATATATATATGGCTTTCGACGCATCGCAGTTTCTAAACTACCTGGAGTTTTAGCTTGCTTAGGTGGCCACTAGAAGTAATCGGAGAGTTTGCATTTTCCTTGAGGCAGTGACCAGCATGGGTCATTCAATACGGTAGTACCGGTGTGAGCCGACTCTTCATCCTTCATCCAATTAACGACCACGAACGCAAGTCGAC